TTTGTGCCAACGTTTTTTCCAATCTTCGAAGCACTTCAAAAAATCCTTTTTTGTGATCTTGTTCAGCTCTTCCTTCGATGCCGTCATTATCTCCTCAATCGTGGCGTAGCGTCGTCCTTTCATGGGCCTCTTCAGTTTCGGGAACAAGAAAAAGTCACAGGGGGCCAGGTCTGGGGAATACGGTGGCTGCGGCATCATTAGTGTGTTGTTTTTGGCCAAAAATTCGCGCACAAGCAACGATGTGTGAGCAGGGGCGTTATCATGGTGCAAAAGCCAATTTTTGTTCTTCCACAAATCCGGGTGTTTCTGGCGGATTGCTTCGCGCAAATTGCCGCATAACTTGCAGGTAATATTCCTTATTGACCGTTCTACCCTGTGGCAAGAACTCATGATGCACCACGCCCCTGCAATCGAAGAAAACTGTAAGCAAAACCTTCACATTCGACCGAACTTGGCGCGCTTTTTTCGGTCTTGGCTCGTGCGGCAGCTTCCATTGGGATGATTGAGCTTTGGTTTCCACGTCATAACCATAAACCCATGATTCGTCACCAGTTATGACCCTCTGGAGCAAATTTGGGTCGTCGCGGACAGAGTTCAACAGCTCCGTAGCAGTGTTAATGCGATGCTGTTTTTGATCGAAAGTGAGCAATTTTGGTACGAATTTCGCGGCGACCCGTCTCATGCCCAAATCATTGGTAAAAATCGAATGGCACGAGCCAATCGATATGTTTAGGTCCACAGCAACTTCTCTGACGGTGATTCGACGATTGGCCAATACTATTTTCTTCACTTCATCAATGTTTTCGTCTGTTATTGACGTGCTCGGGCGTCCGGCACGCTCTTCGTCGTTCACATCTTCTCGGCCCTCTGAGAACATTTTGTACCACCGATAAACGTTGCTTTGGTTCAAGGTAGCTTCACCATATGCCACAGTCAACATTCGGAATGCGTCCGCGCACTTAATTTTGTTTTTCACACAAAATTTGATACATATTCTTTGATCCATTTCTTGGAATTGGCAAAAATCGAAGACGAGCCAAAACACGTCCAAGCAAAATAGCTGTCAAAAATTAACTGAACATTCAAAATGGCCGGACTTGTCAGCATGAGTGAGGGACATGAGTACCAACATAACGCCACAAAAAAATCGAAAATCGAATATACGTAGCCCGCGGAAATTCAAAATTCGCGATACTTTTTGAACAGACCTCGTATCTAGCGCGTCGCTCCACCTCCCGCTCATCGATCGATTTTCTTAAATGCCTTCCGAGTCCGGCCCACCGTCTCCTGCATCCTCATTCGCTCAAACGTGTAAATTAATTACTCGATAACTATTGTTACTTTTGTACCGCGGCACATGACATTTCTCCTTAGTTTAACCCAATCTACCACTATTTTCAAGTTGGCTACTTTTGCATCAGACACCCTGTATAAAGTAAAAGTGAAAAACGTAATTTAAATGAATCTTGAAAAGAAAAATATTGCAAAAACTATTGGCTTCTGCACAACAGGACGCGGAAAGGATTCGAACCTGGGACCTCCCTACAATCCGTGACGGGCGTCTTAGCCAGCTCGACCACCGGGAGGGGCTGTGATAATACTATTCGCAATAACGTGTATACAGGGTGTATTCTAATTCGCGCCCACCATTTATATAGTGATATTTCTCATGAAAAACTGAGTCGAAGTGTCCCGAACCATTTTTTCGAGTCACACCTCACAAAGTAGTTATTATTATTTAAAAATTAGCGAATCCGCATCGCTTTTTAAACAGGCGCACGTTCGTGAGCCACGCGTCTACTAGTGTGCGTGAGTGAGTCGCCGCGCGCCTCAGCGTTGCCACGGCCGCGTTCACGTAGTTCGGAAATAATCAATAATTGCTTTTTGCAATGAGCATGATATTTTCTACCTAGGAAGCACCTTTTTAGATTACAATTTGATATTAGTTGTACTTTCACATAAGAAAATTGTAAAATGAAATAACTGTGGTGACAGTGCCCCCCGTTCCGCGGTCATCCGAGTTCCGATTTGACCAAGATGATTTTTTAAGTTAATTTTTTTCACTATCAAAAATTAAATTTTAAATCTCCAAGAATTCTTTTAATTATCAATTTTAATATTAATAAAAACGTTTTAATAATATCTTTATGCAAAAATGGACATAAAAATGGATTCAAAGTATCTTTAATCAGAACTGTTACCCTCTTACCGCGCATGTTTTAGCAACTACACTGCTCAAAAGAAATATGGCATAGAAAAATTTTATGCAAAAATTGGTCAACTTTGACTGACGGTAACTCCGCGAAAAATCATCGTAAAATTATGTTCTTCTTTTTAAATTAAAGCTTGAAATCTCTAAGATACTATATTTATTTTTTAGGTGTGATGCATCCCTACCACTGTAACACCTTAAATGTGAGGGCATGTTTGTTATATTGAAAATTACAAAGTTTGACGGAGTGCATGGACTTGCTACATTTTTTTTCGGGGATACTGTTTACAGGAACATAAAGTACGAACCTTCCTCTTCAATTTAAAAAAAAAAGAAGTCGCTGCCATTTTTTTCCGCAAGAATACAGTACATTAAAGTAACCCTTGCATTATTGGCATATACCAGGTTGCCGGTCGGATTTTGCACATCATATAGCCCTGAAAGAGCCGTTTGTGTGTGTGTGTGTGTGTGTGTGTGTGTGTGTGTGTGTGTGTGTGTGTGTGTGTGTGTGTGTGTGTGTGTGTGTGTGTGTGTGTGTGTGTGTGTGTGTGTGTGTGTGTGTGCGTGTGCGTGTGCGTGTGCGTGTGCGTGTGCGTGTGCGTGTGCGTGTGCGTGTGCGTGTGCGTGTGCGTGTGCGTGTGCGTGTGCGTGTGCGTGTGCGTGTGCGTGTGCGTGTGCGTGTGCGTGTGCGTGTGCGTGTGCGTGTGCGTGTGCGTGTGCGTGTGCGTGTGCGTGTGCGTGTGCGTGTGCGTGTGCGTGTGCGTGTGCTGTGCGTGTGCGTGTGCGTGTGCGTGTGCGTGTGCGTGTGCGTGTGCGTGTGCGTGTGCGTGTGCGTGTGCGTGTGCGTGTGCGTGTG